TTTCATCACTAAAAATGCAACCACAACGGAGTAGATGACGCAGTTAGCTAGCCAGAGAAATACGAAAGGGTTTTGCGCAGGATCTGGTCCGTTGTTTACATAGTTTTGCTTCATCAGCTGTTCAATAGCCGCATTGATGTTGATGATATCTTGATTTGTTGGTCTTTTCTTTGTTCTACTGTCAAGACGTCGATTACTGAAATCCCCTGGGTCCGCCGCCACTGAAGCAAAAACCAATTTTGCCGCTTGGAAGATGTTTGTCACTTCAGCAGGCGTTTCATCTTCCTCTGGGACTTGCGACTTCGAAGAATTATTATTATTATTATTATTATTATTAGTAGTAGTAGTAGTAGTAGTAGTAGTAGTAGTAGTAGTAGTAGTAGTAGTAGTAGTAGTAGTAGTAGTAGTAGTAGTAGTAGCAGCAGCAGCAGCAGCAGCAGCAGCAGCAGCAGCAGCAGCAGCAGCAGCAGCAGCAGCAGCAGCAGCAGCAGCAGTAGTAGTAGTAGTAGTAGTAGTAGTAGTAGTAGTAGTTGTTGTTGTTGTTGTTGTTGTAGTAGTAGTAGTAAAGGCGCATGTTTCAGGTATACATTTGGGAATTTCATTTCCACTTTCTGACCATCAAGTATTTTTTGTTTGTTTGTTTTTTTAATAGGTCGTTGTAGCAGAGTAAAACAAAATGGCAAATTCCTTCAACTCGGAAGCAGCTAAGGGATACAGAGAGGCCGCGATTTCCGTGCAAAAGTTGGACGGTGAAACTTTTATTCAAACAGATGTCTGTCCCAAAGCTGGAGACACCATCTTAGATTTAGGCTGCGGTACAGGAGAGCTGTCTGCATACCTCGCTGAGTTGGTAGGAGCCGAAGGAAAGGTTGTTGGTGTCGATCCTGATAAGGAAAGAATTCAGCTGGCCAGGCAGTCTCACCATCAAGTCAAGAATCTCTCGTTTCTTGAGGGAGGTGCTTTAACCTTTCCACAGATTGGCTTGGAGCCCTGCGATATTATTTTCAGTAATTATGCCCTTCATTTTATGAAAAACAAGTAGCAAGTCTTCAACAACTTGTTCACAAGTCTTAAAGCTGGAGGGAAAATAGCCTTTCAATACATCTCCCACCTGCCTCCCTTTAAGCGAAACGCGTATGTGCTTCTGAATCCAGAGAATGCTGATCGTATTTTGGGTATGTATCAGTGTGAGGGGAAGACAAAGATCGAGCAGTATTGTTTATCGGTAGGATTTGAAATAACCCGGAGTGTTCAGACTGAAAGCGTAAAACTGATATTTGAATACGCTGAGGAGCTTCTCAAATGGCATTGGTCGACTACACATGGTGTGTTTGATCCTTCCCTTGTTACCGAAGAGCGACTACAAAAGTATCTAGCTCCCTACGCTAATGAAGACGGAAAGCCTTGTCTTGACTTCCGAGGACTGAAACATGAAATGGCTGTTTGTCATCCAAAAGCCATCAAGAAAACAACCGAGCGCCATTAAAAGTGACGTTCTTTTTGACATAAGGAACGGCCGGCAAACTGTTTTCTCACGAATGAACATACCAGCAATCTGGTTTCTAAGACAAGACATTTTTTATCTTAATGTTGCCTACCATTTCTTGGCACGCAGTTAGCCAAAACACTAGTCGTAGCGTGCAAATTAATTCTATTCTGAAAAATCACAATAAAGCAAAGAGAAAAGAAAAGAAAGAATATTTGTAAATAACTTCAAAAGCAAGAAAGACAAATCTGTTTAATGCAAGTTGCGAAGAAACTAAGGTTTAGGATTTCGCGATTTTATTTCTTGCGTTATCATGGTTGCATAAAGTTAATCATATTTCTCTTTTAATATTTCAAATAGGACACTGCATGATTTTCGTTTAAACGATTTTTTTGACATACCTCTCATAAAACCTGGTACCTCATTCCATAATTTAGCGATAAAAATTGGAACGGCTTGTCTTAGTTTTTCAAGATTGAATTTTTGAATGTACATAGTATTTTTGGAGCATGATATTGTGTTATAAGCATGAATAGATAATATCTGCTGAAACAAATTCACGATTTTTGAGAGCGGAGTATAAGTCAGTATGAATATAATGTATTACGTATGATATACGGACTTAAAATAGACAAAGGTAATTGATAGGATATTTGCATCAATAAAAAGAGGAATGGCCTGATCATTCGTATCGGTAAAGTACATGAATTGGAGAAATTTTTTCTGAAGCAATAAAATTTTTGTTAAATGCGTCTTTGATGCCTGTCCCCATGCTATCAAACCATAGGATAAATAAGGCAAGACTAACGCACGGTAAATATTAAAAAATTAGCAAGGTATGTTGAGGAACAAAGTGCCTCAATTTAGCGATTAACCCAACCCATTTACTTATTTTAGAAGCTATATCATCAATGTGTATTTGAGGTTTCCGTCCTGCTGAAGCTGTAACGTTAAGCACTTACATCAATACAGATAAGATATTATACTGTTTTTTATTGTTTAATATAGTCGAACGAGACAGACCAACATTAACTTATAGTCTTCACACCATGTACTAAATTGCAAAGGTAGCAAATAGAACTATTTAGAGGAAATTTTAAAAAAAATTCTCCAAATCCTGACACTATTTCAGAACAGCAAGAACCATAATGGGACAAAGAGGGAATCTTAGGGCGTTGGCCCGGATATGTGGATTTCACTAAAGTTATTTTTAGAGGCTGTAAACGGAAGTCTAATTCCTGGGACGTCCGCACATTTTAATCGATTGTTTGAAACGTCATCAAGTCCACGCGCAACTGCCTCAAAGCAAACAATGCAGAATGTTTTAATATGGCAACTGTTGAACATTACCTTTTCGAGTGAGATTTACTAGCGTCTAGATTTCGGCATCAATATTTTAGATAAGCCTGTTGAGAGCCTTTCAGTTCAAGAAATTGAGTTATCGTTCCTACTCGCAATCATGGGATAAGCGATGATTTGTCCGTGGAGGACTAAAATGCTGTTTCCCCGCGTGAAAGCCGTGAGAAGAAGTCCGCTCATGAAAAAAAAACAGACGAAAGTCAAAGAATTAACTAAAATTCTTAAAATGATGCTGCTTGTTCCATTGAGCTTTTTCCTTCTGACGGGTAGATTATGCTCTGGAGGGTTCTAAGTTTTGACTTAACAAATGAGATTTTTGCCGCTTTTTTCACACTGAGAGGACATGACACGCATATTGATTTTCTGTGTTTTTTGTTTCTGGTCGGCAGGATTGGCCCTCTGATGTAAACTTAAGGCTCTTTTTTGCGGCTAAGAGTTTTAGGTTGTTTAATTTTCTTCAAAGTTCCTCCTGGATCTGAATAACTTTCTTTTGTTCGCGAATGTGATAGATTCCTGCAATGTTTTGATACCCTGGGCCCACAACATCCGTCGAATGTCAAATCAACTTGACGGGTTTTGTTTGCGTCCTTTGCAACTGAAGAAACAAGTTCCAGATACAACGTTTCTCAGCGTCGAGTATTTCTTCGATTAGCCACTCGCTTTCGATTGGTTTCCAAATTTTTCATGGCTTATTGCTAGAGCTGGTCTGACGCATGGGACGAAGTTTACTTTCTAGTCCTTTTTTTTGTTAGCACCTCTGCTGCTTTCTTGTTTTGATTTCTGCGGTGATTTGCTTGCATTTTAGCGTTTTCGTTCGAATTGCGCGTAAACGTCGCTTCACTGGAATTGACGTTTGGCCGCTTTGATTGCTTTGTATGACGATTATTCCCATTCCTTGCTTGTCTTTTGCTGCTGTTTTTTTTTTCCTACCGAGGTTCCAGTACCGAAACTGAAATTTCATGACTAGGATCGCTGTCCGCGGACTTCAATTCCTCCTAAAAAAACTGATATATCATCTAGCAAAGCAGTCAACTCCAACGAAATCGTGAAATCTAGCTCCCAATCGGGACAATCTTTCAAGATAAAACCATTGCCTTTGTTTACAAAATCACTTTGGTCGATGAAACGCAACTCCACGCGGGATTCCATTATTTCTTGACAGCGCTGAATAAAAGTTTGCTGACCTCTCGGGAAACCAATTTCCGATTGATTCAAGCATTTAATTGGTCTAAAAATACCTTTGGTGAAATTCACATATCCCAATGGCTAGACTGGGTGTTTCCGTCTCTGTCCCATTATGGCTCTTGAGAACAAAGATGGGATTTTCCACAGCCATTTTCAGATATGCTCTTCAAGGAGCATGGAGGGAGGAAGATCTTACAAGGCGGTATGAGTGTAAAGATTATCCTTAATTGAGCATAAATTTCAACTGCTTATCAGCAAATGGACAAACTCATTCGCGTTGCATCGGGTCAGTGTTCCGCAAAACAAATGTTATCGAGTAGAACACATAAACAAACTAGATTATAAACAGAATATTCAGGCAATAATTTATTTTAAAAACATCAATTCTTAAACATATACGATCGTAAAGCAAAGATACAAGGAACATTTCAAGTGTACCAGAACGGTTAAGATCGCGCGGCCTGTTGCGGTATGACTCAAGGTCGGAGTCAAAAAACAAATCAAAGTTGAACGAACTCATGCCTTTAACCACTTTCCAAGTGTCGCGTATTCTTTTCGTAAGCCACACACTATTCCTAGAACCATACCAGATCGATCGGCTAAGCTTCTCTATCTCCAAAGACTCTTGAGAACGTCCTGTTGCCGGACGGCCATGATGCTCTTGTGAACCTCCATGATCAAAACATTATTTTTTGCGTCTTCTTGAAACGTAACCAGTCAAACAACACAGCCACACGTTAATCACCACTACCGAAGTATAACTAGGCCAGCCAAAGAGACGGATGTCGGAATAAAACGAAGGACTTTCAATGATTGTACCAGTAATGGCGATTTCGAATTTAGTGCTGACCCAACAAATTTATTCTGAAGAGACAAACGGCGCACATGCGCATAACCGTGATCGCGTCACTTGAACGCGTATTTTGTAACCAAACTGAACAAACCGTATGAGAGACATGTATTCGAAAGCATGACTCAACAGGATGGAGAGACAGTTGATCAGTTCATCGCTAGACTCAGGAAACAAGCAGAGAATTGTAATTTCAATGACCCCGACGCTGACATCAGAGATCAAGTCATCGATAAATGTCGAACTCAGGTTTTAAGACGAAAACTACTGGGAAAAGAAAACCTGACTCTGACAAAAGTGCAAGAGGTTGCTCGAGCTATGGAAGCTGTAGACTTACAGGCTAAACAAATGGGGGAGCAGAGAGAAGAGCAACTGAGTGTGCATAAAGTTGTCCAGAAATCTCCTTCTAAATCTTCTAAGCAGCCAAACAAGAAGTCTGGTAAAGGGAGGTGCTACCGATGTGGTCAAGAGGGGCCTTATTGGCCGAGATAAATGCTGCCCAGCTCGCCAAGCAGAGTGTTCAAAGTGTAAAATGGTGGGTCATTATGCAGCTGTGTGTAAGACCAAGACAAGAAGTGGCGCAGCAAACTCGTTAGGTGGCCGGAAGCGAGAGGCAGAAGTTAACAAGTATTTGGAAGAAGTAATGGTAGACGACACAGATGATGATGATGATGTTGATGATGATGATGAAGCATTAGGCCTGTTTACAGCTGAGGATTCCGAAAAAAGGGGCATGCACCAATTCAAGTGTCAGTGATGTTAGCAGAAGAGCTGTGAAATGCAGTTGGATACAGGAGCAACAATGTCTATCTTGCCTAAGACCCTGTATGACAAGCAATTTAATCAGTGGCCATTGCGGAGGTTAAGTTAAAGGCTTACAATGGTGTCCAAATTCCAGTCTATGGAGAGGTTTGGTTACCAGTGGTATATGATCAGCAGAAAAGGGTGTTGCCGTTGATTGTAGTTGATGGAGATGGTCCCCCGCTACTGGGCAGGAATTGGCTGAAAGAACTCCAGCTGAACTGACACAACATCTTTCTTGTGAGCAAGACTGAAACGCTGTCAGACATATTAAAGCGGCATGACAAGGTGTTCAACAAAGGACTGGGTACCATCAAAGGCTTCAAGGCGGATGCTAAATTGCAATATGATGCTAAGTCTGTATTTTGCAAAGCCCGGCTAGTACCCTTCGCACTACGCCAAAAAGTTGAAGAAGAGTTAGACCGTCTGGAAAGTCAAGGAGTAGTTAAGAAGGTGGAACGGAGTGACTGGGCTTCGCCTATTGTTTGTGGGCCAAAGAAAGACGGAAGTATTCGTATCTGTGGGGATTTCAAGGTGTCCATTAACAGGGTTCTTCTAGACAACCCATATCCGTTGCCAGACACAGGGGATGTATTCGCCACTTTGGGCAGTGGAACTGTGTTCAGCAAGATTGACTTGTCAAATGCATATCAGCAGATGGAATTGACGGCTGACAGCCAGCAGTATCTCACGGTGAACACTCACGAGGGTTGTATGCATATCAGTGTCTCACCTATGGTATAGCCTCTGCTCCTGCCATTTTTCAGTCAACACTGGATCAGATACTGCAAGGGATGGATAAAGTGCGTTGTCGTATAGATGATATTCTGATCAGAAGAGAGCCCCATGAACACTTGCAAGTATTGGATGAGGTGTTGACCAGGTTGGAGAAGGATGGCATATTAGCTAAGAGGTCAAAATGTGAGTTCATGGTGCCAAGTGTCGAGTTCCTGGGGTACCGTGTTGACGGAGAAGGACGGCATCCCACAGATGAGAAGACTGCAGCCATTTAAGGGGCCCCGAGCCCTAAGAATGTGGCAGAGCTTCGTTCCAATTTGGGACTGCTCGATTATTATGGAAATTTCATACCCATTTTATCCACGTTGCTGCAGCCGCTGCATGAACTGCTCTGGAAAGGAGTGAAACGGGGTTGGACAGAAGAGTGTGAGAAGGCATTTGTGCGCACCAAATCTGAGCTTGTGGCTGACAAGGTGCTTGTGCCATATGATGAAACGAGAAAGCTGATTCTGGCGTGTGACGCCTCTCCTTATGGTGTGGGAGCCATGACTTCACATGTAATGGAGGATGGTGAAGAGCGTCCCATTGCATTTGCCTCGAGAACACTCACAAAGAACGAAAGGAACTACTCGCAAATAGAGAAGGAAGCCCTGGGAATTGTATTTGGTGTCCAGAAGTTTCACAAGTATCTACAAGGTCGAACTTTTCACCTGTTAACAGATCACAAGCCATTAGCAACCATCTTGGGTCCTAAAACAGCAGTACCTACTTTAGCAGCAGCAAGAATGCAGCGCTGGACCGTTATTCTGCAGGCGTACAATTATCAGGTGGAGTATCGCTCATCGGCAGAGCATGCTAATGCAGATGCCTTATCACGTTTACCCTGTGACATCAGTCCCATGAAGGAAAAGGCAGAAATGTTCTTCTTCTCAGGTCTTGATGAATTGCCAGTTGACTCTAAGGACACCAGCAGGCACACACGGAGAGATCCTGTGTTAGCGAGAGTTTTGGAGTACACCCTCGTTGGATTGCATAATCATGTAGCTGAAGAGGAACTAAAACTGTACTTCACAAGCCGAAATGACCTAACAGCAGATCAAGGATGTGTTTTATGGGGAATGCGCATGACCATTCTGCCATTGTTAAGGAACCGATTATTGCAAGGGTTACATGAAGAGCATCCTGGTATTGTTGCCATGAAAGCCATTGCCCGGAGTTACCTATGTTGGCCTAATTTGGATGCAGAGATGGAGCTGATGGTGAAGAATTGTGAGGTTTGCCAGTCAGTGTGGAAAGCGTCTCCAAGAACACCCCTATACCCATGGAGATGGCCTACTCGTGTGTGGCAGAGAGCACACATTGATTTTGCTGAGAAGGATGGCAATAGTTTTCTTGGTCTTGTTGACAGCCACTCCAAGTGGATTGAGGTAGCACACATGACATCTACATCAGCTAAGAGTACTATTGACCAGTTAAGAGTGTGGTTTGCAGCATACGGACTCCCCGAGGAAGTTGTGTCCGATAATGGTCCCCAGTTTATTTTCAGTGAGTTTGTTGATTTCCTAAAGCAGAATGGAGTTAAACAGACGCTTGTTCCCCCGTATCACCCATCGTCTAATGGTGCAGCAGAACGTACAGTACAAATCCTCAAGCAGGCATTACAGAAGGAGGCCGAAAGAGTAAGAAGGGGTGCACCGAAGCGGTCTATGAAGCACCAACTGGCAAACTGTCTGTTCCAGTACAGAGACACTCCTCATTCTCCTACAGGAATGACACCAGCAGAACTGTTCTTAAAGCGCAAACCTCGCACCAAGTTCAGTGTTCTAAAGCCTAACATGGAAATGCACATCCAAAAGCAGCAAGGCAAGCTACAGCAGCAGCACGAAAAGAGCGTGTTAAGATGCGTGAACTGTCTTCGCGTGATTCTGTGAATGTGCGAAATACCCGAGGAGGGATAGAGAAGTGGGTTCCTGGTACAGTGATTAGAAGGTTGGGGCCATTAACCTATCTGGTGAAAGTACGGCGGCAACTGCGTTATGTACATGTTTATCACCTGCTGTGAACTGAGCGTGAGAATTCAAAAGAGGTTTTAGAAGAAGAGGGTTTTGATGACGTGTTTCCTGAGGAGCGAGCTGTTACAATGTTGTCTCCAAATTTGACATCTGGTACGTCAACATCTCCAAGTGCTGCTATCAGTGTGCCGGAGCCAGAAACAGAGTCACCCTGTAAGGTACCTATACAGACACCGAAACCAGTTGCAGTACAAGCCTCAGTGCTCAAGGACCAGACCCCGAATTGTGTCTTAGCACAGCCGTCAACTCCAAAGATCCAGACTCAGACCCCTGTTGCAGCAAGGAAGTCAACTTGTAAGCTTCAGTCGCCAAACCCCGTTCCATAACTTGAGTTGGATTCTCCGTCTCGAGCACAAAGTCGCAATATGTCAACTTCAAGAGATTTGCCAAATAGGACTGAGGGCAAATATCCAGTCAGGCAGAGAAAAGCACCTGTTAAGCGAAATCTGCGACATTGATAGTAGTAAGGAACATTTTTAGGGCTGGACATTGCCGGAGCTCTTGAGACATTTATGTTACCCTTTTGTTGATGTTACAAGTTTCAAGTGACTTATTAGCCATTTTGTTAACTTGGCAAAACAGTGTCTTCAGTGATTTTAGTACTTTCACATATTAGAAGGGGAGGAAGTGTTATGTATTCGCTATTTATCTGTCAGTGGTTGTTGTTTAACGCATGCGCGTTAAAGCAGAGGAGCTCGTGAGTACACCGCCATGTTGGAAACTTGTATGCTTATGTTGTGTGTTTCATGTAGTTAAATCTGACCGTGTTTGGAACCATCGACTGGTTTCTCCATATTTAACAGCCGACAACCTCATTTGGCGTTACCACGAACTGATTATTGTCATGATTCTGACCTCGAGACCAGTTCTGTTCCCAAGATACAGAATCAAACCACAAGATAGAGTACAAAGTGCGGAGAAAAAGAAGCGAGCAATCGACACTCAATTACTCAAGTGTCGAAAGCGAGTCAAATATATCCGGATGACGGAAGACCACGATCGCGAAGCCAAGAGGAGGTTAAGTTTCCTTTCAGCCTCCCACGAAGAAGAGAACCGGTAGTTTCATTAACATAGTTTTCGCTGAAAGGTAGTTATTTGCGCTGGTTAAGAGAGTAGAAGAACCCAAATTGTACGTTCGTTATTGTCGACGGCCATCTTTTCTTCTCTCTCTATTTGGTGCTGTTTATTATGCTGTACAAGGTGGTCCTACTTTCCGCCTATTAGCTGTGAAGTCACAAAGTGTGCCCATCCAAACCAAAGCCACCGAGGAGTAATCAACAAAACAATTCTTTATTTACCTCAAACTGTTAGGTTTTTTAGTTAGCTCACCATCCAATTAAGGTCGGTATGTGAGTACGTGAAAAAGAAGAAAAAGGAATAGATGAAAGAATTAACAAATTAAATTGATAAATAATTGAGTAAGTAATTTGGGAAATGTGAAAGTGCTCGAGTCTTGTAATGAAGAAGGAAGGTCTTTCCAGATATCTATTGCGATAAAGAAACTGATTGTTTTCCTACATTAGTTCGTACTCCAAACTTATAATTAAAGATTATGGTTAGCTGCATATCTTGTGCCGTATCCATGATATTATTGGCGTATTAAAACATCTCATTAAATACTTCAAGTACCAGGCCGTTATGTCAGGAATAAATGAACTTTAAAACATGAAGGCGGTAAACATTATCCGCTGTTAAAATTCTTAGTAAATTTAGTAGAGGTTTGGCTCGTTCTGTTTCTTTACCGTATGCACGTGGGACAAGAAAAGAACAATCTAACTATACGATTCTGTAATTTACTCATGTTTTCCTTGTGTGGGTCTTATATGCACAGCCCCAGGCTAAAATTCCATAAGAAATATATACCTCTTATTAGCCGAGTTT